AGAGAGAGACAGACAGACAGAGAGAAGATTCCTGCATGTTCAGGGGATGGCTGGTAAACAACCTTGAATAGTGTTCTTTTTTTGTTACTCTTGTGGCCCAGGCCCCACATGGGCAGGCGGCGAAATAAGATAGAACTTAGGGAGTCGTTAGACATTCCGTATGACTTCCTGGAGCTACAAGGAAATATTGCGGCCTCGTTCCACATATCCTCGGGGCGTCCCCCGAGGAGATTTCCTTGCGGCCTGCCTGCGGCCGTTTTCATACGGCCGCCGGTGGGGTGCCCATGGTCCAGCGTCCTGTGCCCGTATGGAGATGGTATGTTCCAGCGGCGGCTGGCGGGAAAGGACAGGTACATGCCACAAAAAAACGAAATAAAAAATAGTGGACCTCCACGTTTGAAATTCAAAACTTGGAAGTAAGGGCGTGGTGACGAGCACGATGATTGGCAGGGGGGGTGAAGACGGGGCACGGGCGAATCAGGGTTTGCGGTAGCGTCCCTTCCCGAGAAACGCAGCGGTGTGTGTATGTGTGCACAGTGGTTGCGTCCATCGCCATCGATGAATTCCACGTTGCGGGTATCGTTCGACACAGTTTTGTGACGAGAGCGACGTCGTCCCAAAGGTGGCAGCTTTGCGGAAGTCTCGTGGGGGCAGCGATCGTCACGACAGCGGAGATACGTCATTCCTGTCGAACTGTTGGCGACGGAGGGCAGCAGAGAGGTCAGGCGTGTGCTGTTGACACCGCTGGAGAGGACGGCCGTGGCGGCGGCTGTGTCTACCATTGTTCTTCGTTGTCACCAGGAGAGGGCTCCGAATACATGGCGACTTCGGAGGCTGTCATTCAGTTGGGTTGCGGCATCATTCCACAAGCGACACCGAGGAAGCACACATGGAACAAGAGCAGGGTTGTCGAGCCCGGGCTCTGGGGCCCCGGCGGGGGCGGGGGTGGGGGTGGGCACCCCCGACCCCAGCTCCAGACCCCATCCCCCCCCCCCCCCCCCAAAAAAAAAAGAAAAAAAAGTGGGGGGTGCGCAGCGGCAGCCTGCACCCACTGGCCTCGCCTTAAAAAAAACCGTTCTTACACCATCTTGGCCCCCACCCGGGGGGTGGCCCTGGGTGCGGGGTCGAGGTCGGGGATGGCTGGTGACGGGGATGGGGGC